AACTAGTTTATTCTTTCTCAATTCAACTTTGCAATACACTTAATCCCCACAGTCACGCTATAATAAACACTATAATTCACAACGAACGATTCACGATTCACGCGCTTGACTCAGTTGTCCATCTCTATCTCTGTCTGCAATTCAATTCCGATTGTTGCCGTCACTTCTTGGAGGTCTCATATACAAGAATACCGCACATCTAGTAAACAATCGAGGCTTCACGAAGGGACATGAATTTTCTAGAAGCTCATGACGTGTTACTAGCGTCACATGACTTTCGCTGTCGTAACAATATCAACCGCTTGGCTTATATTAATCGTTAGGTCTTCCACTCGTATGACGATTAAGTTTGCGTTTAACTTTTCTTTGGCCGAATTTCTTCCCTTAACTTTACTCTACTTCTCGTCTCCTCTGTCTTTGGCTGTTTGTCTACTTTTCCCGCTCATCTCATACTATTTATATGTTCATTACTTAACCATCTGCTCTCTATATCCTCTACATCAATAAATTTCCCGCAAGATAATCTCCACATCAATGGGTTACAAGCACAATACACACTTTTACCAATTTATTTAACTAAACTTGTCATAACATTTATTTTAAATAATTGCTTCTAACTTTCTTGTTATGAACAAAATCAAGCAATAATAAAATATTCACTCACAAAATAAATAAATTAATAATATCTGCACTAAACAGTATTTTGTATCATGGCAACCTGAGTGAGAATTGACATGTCTAATATCCAAGAAGCCACCGTGGTAGCAACATTTTTCAATATTTAGCTACAGGGCAGATATCTAGAGATATTAAGTAAAGTTGCTTACAAACCTGGCAACTTTTATTAGAATTGAAAATTAAGTGTAATAAGGAGTGTGAAATTTTGAAGTAAATAAAAATATATAAATTCGTATACACACGATGAATGAACAAAGAAAGAATTACGTTTCTCAATTTTCAGGGGGGCAAGTGTCCCCCTCCTGTGGACGCTCATGTAGTATATACACAAATATGTTAAAGCGGTGAGCTGCGTTAGCGTGTGGGCTACAAAAGAAAATAATACATTGAATGAGAGGGTACACACAGCCAAAACATTGTGTATTTCAGTCTTTTTTTTTCTTACTAACTCTCAGTGGTGCAGTGGTAAGACTGAAGGCTAACAATGCTAAAAAATCGGGTTAAGATACTTCTGGTAGGCCCAGCATCTTGTGTAGCCTTGTGCTTAACAACAAATATATTTTTACTTTTCATTGTGGAATTAATCTTTCATTTATACAAATAGTTTTTTCATTCAAACAGTTTCATACTTTAAAAAAAAAGGGGCTTCTCATTACAAACATGGGGAATCTAATACTTTTGTTTCTGGGTAAAGACTTTTGGCTCTCCAAAAACGCTGTACCTCTCTATTTACTAGCAGTAGTTTGAAATCTGTAAATTACGAAATAAGGTAGTTGTCCTTCAAACTACTGATTGTTTTGCCTTATTTCATAAGTGGAACTAAGTAGACAGGTGATGCTAATCAGTCGTCCCTGGACTTGTTTGATTAATGTTTCATTCTCTCACTTACTTAATAAAACCTCCATTGTATTTATTGTCTTGTCTTTGTGGGTATGTTATTTTTGCCCCTAGCTAAAGAAGAGATTTATTTAATTCAGTATAAAATAGCCGTTTACACATCACAAGTGCAACATTTAAAAATTTAATTTTGTCAGAAGTATTAGAAAACCCAGGCAGTTATACCCCTCACTTAACGCATTAGACGCAGTATACTGGAAACCCTAATTATCGTAGAATAATATTTGTAAACAAATGATATGGAAATGTAACATGCAAAAAGCAATATAACTGTTGATTGGATGGCTGAAATCTCATGAGATTCTTTTTCACACATTTGTCAGATTCTTAGTTTGAAGTTTTGGGAATTAGTGTACCTTAACTAGTTTGCCAAAAACATGGATAAGCGTGTGTTACATATGCGCAAAAAACGATCTCATGTTTCTTTAAGTGACGGATAAGGGGTAAATAAACAGAAGAAATCATTAAAATGTAATGATAATGAAAAATAACAAAGTGGTGACTCTGCAACTGGACCAAGCACTTACCCGGTTTCCGCTGCACTGCTTCTGTGGGTAAACTGAACAAAAATAGAGTATGTTAGTACCAAAAAGATAATTTAAAATGTGGTTTCACTTACAGAATTTTTAATAACGAGGAACAACAGCATGACATTATTTGTTCGCATATTTTAACTAATAACAGCATGAAGCCAAATAAACTTACCAGGCATTTGGAAACCCAAAACCATAAATATGTGGGTATAACTATCATATTCTTCAAGCAACAAGTGAAATAACTGAAAGAGCAAAGCATCTTGTTGAAAAAAAATGTCACTTTTACAAGGCTTTGGAAAGCTCTTTAGAAGCATTTTATTTGATTGGGAATATCATGATGCCTCTAACTATAGGAGAGACATTAGTTCTTCCTGATGCTATAAAAATGTGTGGGATCATGCATGGAAAGAGGTATGGTGAAGCCCTCAAATCTAGCTTTTTATAACGTGAAACTGCCACTAGGCATATATATGTAATCTTTGTTGACATAAAATGCAACTGATAATATTAATCAAGAACAGCCCGAAATTTATTGGCCATACAACTTGATGAAATCACAGATGTTGTAAATTAAGCTCATCTTCTGGTAATTTTATGATAGGATTACGGAAGAAGTGTATGGGGAGTTTTTGTTTGCCCAAGCACTGGAAGGGAGAGTTGCATGAAAGGCATCTCCCTCTTGTTGATATGTTTTTCACCACAGATAATATTTCATGGATTATGTTGGGATATGCACTGATGGGATAGCTGCATGTATGGAAAACAAGAAATAGTTCAAAGCCTAAGTAACTGTTTTTGTTCCAAATGTAACATTTACACATTGCATCATACACGGAGAAGCACTAGCTTAAAAAAAAAGCATACCAAAGCAAACAAAGTGCTACATGATGCTGTGAGTGTTATTAACTTTGGCTTTTTTTCATTTTTGTAGAGAAATAGGATCCATGTAGGATAATCTCCTGTTGCATTCATAGGTGCGCTGGATGTCTCGCGGGAAGTTTCTCAGTCACATTGTGTTGCTAAAATATGAAATTCGTATTTTTTCTTAGACTGCAACCTCACACTAGCAGTGCATTTTACGAATAAAATGTGGTTTTTAGTACTGTGTTACCTGACTGATATTTTCGGCAAACTTAATGATTTTATTTTGCTACTGCAAGGCCTGGCTAGCAATATTTTGCTGATGAGTGACAAAGGCTCAGCTTTTCGCGAAAAGCTTGTGCTGTAAAAAAAGTAGTTTACGGATGAAACTGTGAAAATTTTCTTTGGAAGAAAATGAATTAAGTCATAGTCTTATTCGTGAGGTTGTTTCTATTCATCTAGAAAAACTTCAGTGTCGGTTTACAGCTCAATTCCAAGAATCAACGGGAGAACACGAGACATGGAATCCAATGACTGCTGAAAATAGGCTCATAGAACTATCCAGTGATAAAACTCTTCAGGTAGAATTTAAATCAAAACTTCATGTGAACTTCTTGGTCTAGTTAGCAAAGAATGCTCTGACCTGTCAAGAAAAGCGATGGACGTGCTTTTGCCTTTCATATCACCATACCTGTGCAGTGCCGTAGGAAGCGGTAAAGTCAGTCAGGCCATGGCCTGACCATTTTTTATGGCATGTATAGCTACAACTTATCTATTAAAACTTGCTTCTTTTAATTCAGTACATTACGTTGTGTGTATGCAGTATTTGTAGTTAAAATGGCTAAAGATTCAATCTCACACCATTAAATTTTCAAAAATTTCCTGGGAGGTTCGCCCCCAGCCCCCTAGAAATAGCATGTGTTGCATGTCGGTAGTGTACTTTTCACACATTGTGTGTCACGTTGTTTAATTGTGGCAATGGCCTGATCACTCAAAAATTGGAAATGCTGTGTAAATTAGTGTTTTCTGCTCTAACAGCAATCTAATCCACAGGTAAAGAGGGATTTTCGAGTTGCTGTGTCAACATTTCATCCAAAAATGGGCTTTTTATCACAAGCTCAAGCCCACCCTTCACACTAAGTTGTTGAGTGAGCTGAAACTGTTTACTTTATACTATGTACCATTTCAATACTTATATATTTTTGCACAGTGTGTATGTGCGTGCGTGAGGAGGAGAGGTGTAACAAAATACATATTGTTACGTCTCCGTTCGTTAGTTAATTTTCCGTAAATTTGTTCCGACGAAACTTTAGCGACACAAGTCCTTTCTTAAATAAAACTGGTTTATTTTTTCCGAATACAACTTTACGATACACTTAATTTCAACAGTCGCTATATAACAAACGCTGTAATTCTCAACAAACGTCTCACGTGCCCAACAATATTCTCTTTGTCAGCATACATTCAATTACTCACACTCTCTGTCTCGTTACGTTGAGACCGTCTTATATATACAAGACTAACACATATCTAGTAAACTCTAGAGCATTCATGGAGGAACAGGATATTTCTAGAAGGAGGTGGCGTGATACTAGTCACGTGACCTCGCTGACGCAACAATATTTTAGAAAGGGGACAATGTAACAAAGTTTGTGTATTATTACTCTAGTTTATAACTTCAAAGTTAGGGATGGCAAGCGCTTATAGCTCATGAATAGATTTACGCGAAAATTCAACAAACAACTGTGCAGAGTAAAATCAAACAAAAGTAAAAATCTCGTAAACGTGTAAATCAATTTAGTTAAAATTAAATGCAAATTTTAATAAGAATCATTGCCTTAAATACTCTTCTAGGTCAAGAGATTTTTGGGAATTATTTACATATTTATATATATATATATATTACTTTTTCATAAGTTAATTAACTTAGATTGAATATACACCACCACCCCCAAAATAAAAGAAGTAATTTACTTCTATGAAAACTTTCTAACGTTGAAACAAAAGGTACGGGCAAAGCAAGGTGAGTATATATGAAATATAACACTAACAGTTTCATTCGAAGAAGGCAAGAACTGTATGAAATAACTTATATCCAAGGTTATTAATAAAAATGCAACCAGCACAAAAATAAGTGACAGCGAAAGGAATAGTTTCTGGCAAAGACCATTTCAAATTCAAGTGTACCAACTGCTGAAAGTGAGTCGTAGTCGTGAGTATTAGTAGTAGTACTACTGTGGCGTAAGTACTAGTAAGATAAATTAGTATTATAATTATATTTACAGATTGGACTACGCATTAAGGCAGTTGAGCAAATTAACTAGAAAAAAATCATGTTTTGAAAGTTTTAATTTAATGTTTGGTTTTGAATTTCGCATAAAGTTTAAACTTAAGGTTAAAGCTAGTCGAAGGCCATTCGAATTAGCTAGTCAACATCACTCACTGCCAACTCTTGAGCTATTTGTTATTAATGAATAATGCGATTGAGCGTAACATTATAACACCCTATGGCTGAAAGGGAGAGCAAGTTCGGTGACACTGACAGGGACTCAAACCTGCAACTTGCAGAGTGTGAGTTAAGTTCCCTAACCACCAGGCCAGTTAATTAAATTAATTTTAATGCAGTTCTTTGAAGCTACTTGTGTATTGAAGCACATGATGTTAATAGAGTAATAAATTGTCTAATGATCTAAATGATATAAATTGTTTGTTAAATTTACTATTGTATGAAGCCAAATGCAAACAATTAAGTTATAAGATAAATTATGAGTTACCATGAGTGTAGTCATGACTTGGGGTATTCATTGAAACTGGAAAGGAAACTGTAAATGTAATGTGTGTGTGTATACTTTAATAAGTTTATCAATTGCCTTTCCTCTCACACAGGCCTGGGATAGCCAGGTGGTTAGGGTGCTCGACTCGCAATCTGAGGGTCGCGGGTTCAAGACCCTGTCCCACCAAACATGCTCGCCCTTTCAACTGTGGGGGCATTATAATGTTACAGTCAATCCCACTATTCGTTGGTAAAAGAGTATCTCAAGAGTTGGTGGTGATGACTAGTTGCCTTCCCTCTAGTCTTGCACTGCTAAATTAGAGATGGCTAGCACAGATAGCCCTCGTGTAGCTTTGCACAAAATTGAAAAACAAACAAACAATCCTCCCAGATCAATGGTGCACAACTTTATCTTGGAGGGTTCACAAAAATCCAAGTGGCTAAGTACCTAAATCTGTAGGGTAAAGTTTCATATTCATATTTGGAAGTATTTAGCTTTGTTCATGGGTTAAGCTTACCAGTGAAAATAGCCTATAGAATTTTCTGAAGAAATAAATAACTTGGATACAAATGAATAGCCTGGGTATTGTATTTATTTTTACAGAATAAACAAAAAGAACCTACATATGAAAAAATCCATAGCAACAGAGCAGTTGTAATTTTTTTTAACACTTGAGGCATACATTTTATGAATAAAGAAGACTAAGTTACAGTTTGTTGTTCATTAACAAATAATAGAACTTCAACATTTATTTCTTACAAGGCAGACTATTTTTTCATTTAGCATATTAAAATGCATTAGAGTTGGATTAAAGCAGTTAGTTGTCTGTATGTTGTGCAACACTGTTCTAGAGCACCAGTTTCATGTTTTCAGTATGTAAAAAGTGACATCAAAACAATTATTAAGTCTGTATGTATATTGCATTCCTCAAAAGAAATCTTTGTTACATTGGGTTTCACAAGGTAAGGTAAAATTTTCATTTAGTGAGACAAAGGTTTACAGTAGAGTAATGGAAATTTTCTTTTGTCAGACTTGGAACATAGCTAGATAACTTGCTGTTGTACAAAATCTCAGAAATTGTATGCCTAGTAGTGTAGTAATGAAACTATAAGGTTATATTCTTGTTAAAACATGCTTATACTTCATGGCATGAAGAAACATGATATAATGAAAAAATCTTGGATAATCTTCCTGACTTAAATTCGATGACGAGGAACCCACTTTGAGATTAATAATGGATGGAGATGGCTTAAGATAAAAAAAGTATGGTATTCCCTCTCCCCTTAGCAAATTACTTGTATAATAATAATTATTCATTAGAGTTGGTATGTTTGAGAAGAATAAAATGTGAAACTTAGAATTATTAAACTTCTATATGTATTTATATTCAATTTCTCAATATTGAATTGATATCTTGATTTAAAATAATGACTCTGTAAACAGGTAAGTATTCTAAAATGAAGTTGGAACCAGTATTAGATTTTTTGGTCAGGACAAATAAATACAACACAACTTGTTGATCAAACCAAAGAGAGAGAATCTATATTCTATTTAGAATGTCATTTCTCACTTCTGTGGTATGGTATCACTCACAAATATACAATTAAAACAATATTAAAACCAGTTTAAACTTTATCCATAACTTTTTTAAATATAATAAAGTGTAAAAGTTATATATATATATATATATACACTTATGTTATGAAGTATTAAGTAAAATATGAATTTTCTGAAGTTGTCTTTTTGTTTAGGTTACATACTTTCTTGGTAAGTAGGATTTTGTTGTCTGGTTGATCCATGCAGGGTTTGTTGTTAGACATAATATACAGGGTTTTCTGTCACAAATTTGTCATGACTGAATAAAAGGGTGATGATAATTTAAGGCCAAACATGAAATCTCAGTGGCAATTTTATCAAATGAGGTATTCCCATTTACACATAAATATATCTAAATGGCAATAGGTCATTTCATAACATCAAATCTGCTGCTGATATTTCAGGTTTGGAGTCAACTAGAAGATAGTTTCCATTTGGAAAAGTACCAAAAAAGTCAATAGACAACTTTGGTTTCTTGTCAGGAACCTCTGAAGAGTGATATCACTATTGATTCTAGTATTTTTTGGACCATAACGTGCTGTGTGACATGGTAAGCATTTTGCCACAATTTCTTCAACTGTACTGTCTATCCTGGAAAATACACACATTCTTATAGCAATTGCCTTATCTTTACCATCTTCTGGTGACCACTGTAAGATAGTTTACTGCTTTCTGTTGAAGCTTATTGGAATTATTATACAATAGTCTCATGACAAGACTCCATTAGATACAGTTCATCCTTTACATGTCTTTTGCTAAATCTGGATTTACATCATGCTACTTTTGACTCTGTCACTTTTCACAATTTTTAGAGAGTCTCATCACTTACTGTGGTATCTTGAACTTCTGTGAGCATCATAGCTGGAGGTACAGCATTTGCATTGATATACTGAATGTATGCATTGATATTATAGTCATTTGGGATAGAAAAGTTTTAAGTTCAAATGGCAACTTGCATAGTTTGCTGGATTATTTTTACCAGACCTCTACACCATCTTGAATTCATGTGGTTTTAGTTGCAAACATAATCTCTCAAGCTATGCAGTTGGTTTGTTGAAAATGCTTTCCATTGACTTGTGATCAGTGAATACAGTAAATAAAGATATACAAAAGCATACATAAAAATGTTCAATCCCACCCCACTCCCAGTGCTTCTCATTTTATGTGACTATATTGACTTTCTGAGTTAGTGAGTGCATGGCTTGCATGAGCTATGACATTTTATTTTCCATCTGGTTACATCTATTGCACCTAATCCATTTGAGGTTTTATGGCTTATGTCACCTATCGTGCACATCATCATGCAGGCCTGTTGGTAGGCAATTGATTCAGAATCAGTGAAGAACATTAACAGTTAATATGGTGAAATCTTCACAATGTGAAAAGAGTATTGATATTAATTATTTTAAAAAGTTAGGAACTTGCTAAATCACAAAGCAAATCACATATTGTTATCAGTGGAATATGCATAACAATTAGGAACCAAATCTTGTTTAAGTTGTGTTGAGAAGATAGAGGTGATCAGAAGTAATCTGGATCCATATATGTATGAAACCTCTTACAAAATATACTGTCTTGTTGAGTTATAAAATGTATCCTAATATAAATATATTTCCTTGTAGTAGTCACACACACTAGAACTGAGTAAAAGACATAGAAAAGTTTAGATTCATACAAGTATTTCACTGCTGGCCTTGTCTGGAATTTAATAGTCACCCAAGTCAAACAGTGGTGATTATAAGAAACATTTGTTTTAAAAAGTTTGTGTGAGTTAAGTTTGATTGTAAATTTGTGTGTCTTTAAGTGTACTCTTGTTGTCATAAAAATATGGTGTTGCATTAATTAATTACAGTTTATGTGGACAGTAATGATATTAACATTGTAATATTATTAATATCATTAAAAGGCAGTACAATGTATTATCCAGTTACATTTATTGATGCTTAATAGTAATGTACTTTTCCCACCAAAGATAGACCATGATATAACATCTTGTAAATTGTATAGAGTTAGAGAAAATGAAGTAATAAATTTTGTTGTAGACATCAAAAAATACCATAATTCAGAGAGGAAAATTTTCTGGATTGTGAAATAAATATTCTTTATGATTTATGAAGCACTGTAGATATGAAAACAGAAAATATAACTGTGCATTCAGACCTGCATGTATCAGTCCTGCTATTACACTGTGTTTATTTAGGTTTTACATTCTTGTAAGAGTGAAGTGCCTAATGAAGATGGATACATCATTACAGTCTACTTTACTTGTATTGTTGGGCAAGGTGAAACTAGTTCACATTGAGCAATAATTTTCTTTGCAACTAAAGCAACAGTTGGAACAGTCTGCTGGTACAAATGTACAATTTGCCTGGTATAACTCATTCTAAAGTGGAATGTCTTCCTGCAACAGATACAAATCTAACAAGACTTGAAGTTCAAGGTATTATTAGTAGTAAACACTGCATGTGTAGCATTACCCAAACCAATTCTTCTAACAACATGATACACAATAAATCTTTTTTACAGATCTCTTTCAGTGTTACAAAAATTATTGTTCTGGCAGTCATCCCACCATACTTAAATATTCAGGTAATTATGTGCCTCTATCAGTGTCTTTGCCAAAATCAGTCATATTTTTACTAACCACAGAGTATGAAATTGACTTGCTTGGAGTTACTCCAAAACAGTGAGGAGTTGTTCCCAAAGCTGAATGTAAATAATAAAAAGGTATAAATACTATTTAGATATTATTATTAACAGTCTTTATGACAAAGAGCCTCACAGCATTATGTAATTATAAGTGCAGGCAATAAGTGTTTAAACTTATTAAAGGGTCAAATCA